CACTAGTCGTCTCCACTGGTTCCGGTCCATCACTTGCTCCTCCCCCAGCTGTCTCTCTCTGAGATCCTCCTTCAGTCAGTCCTTCCACCGTAGTTTAGGTCTTCCTCGTCTACGTCTGCCCTCCACGTCCATCTCCATCACTCTCACACCCACGTAGTCTTCTTCTCTCCTCTTCACATGACCAAACCACTGTAATCTCCTCTCCTGCGCTTTCGCCGACGCCTCCACCACCTTTACTGTACCTCTGATCCGGTCATTTCGTATCCTGTCCTCCCTCGTCACCCCACACATCCACCTCACCATTCTCATTTCTGCGACATCTATCTTCCTTTCTTGAACCTTTTTCACCGGCCACGTCTCCGCTCCGTACAGCAACGCTGGTCTCACAACTGACTTGTACACTTTTCCTTTCACTCTAGCACTGATTTTCTTGTCACATAGCACCAAGATGTTCTCTTCCAGCTGTTCCACGCTACCTGGATCCTATGATCAATCTCTCTCTCTAGGTCTCCATCCTTCGTTACGTAGGAGCCGAGGTATTTGAAGGCGTCCGCCTTTGGAAACTTGTGGTCTTGCATGAACAGGTCGCCTCCTTGTGTCACATTGCACTCCAGGTACTCCGTTTTCTGTCTGCTCACCTTCAGTCCATAATCCTCCAGCAAACCCCTCCATAGCTCCAACCTCTCTTGCAATTCTTCACAGCTCTCGGAGACCAAAACAATATCGTCTGCAAAGAGCATGCTCCATGGTGCCTCTTTTGTCACTTCCTCCACCATCACATCCATGAGAAGGTTAAATAGATAAGGGCTAAGAGCTGATCCCTGATGGAGTCCAACTTTCACCTGAAAAGGCTCTGTAGTGCCAACTGTACTTCTTACTCTTGTTGTGGCTTCCCTGTATATGTCCTGAACTATCTTGACATACTTCTCCTTCACTCCCTTCGACCTCATACTCCTCCACACCTCGCTTCTCGGGACCCGATCATAAGCTTTTTCCAGGTCAATAAACGCCATGTACAGCCCTCTTTGCTTATCTCTATATTTTTCCATTGTCTGCCTCATTGCGAATACTGCATCCATTGTTCCTCGACCTTTCATAAAACCAAACTGCTCACTACAAACTTCTGTCTCCTCCCTCAGCCTTTTATCCAACACTCTTTCCAGCAGTTTCATAGTGTGAGATGTTAGCTTAATTCCTCTATAGTTGTTGCAACTCTGGATGTCTCCCTTTTCTTTGAAAATCGGTATCATTATACTATCTCTCCACTCGTTCGGGATAGTCTCTTCCTTCATCACCATGTTCAGGAACTTTGTCAGCACCCGTATCCCTTCTTCGCCCAAACTCTTCCATACCTCTGCAGGAATCTGGTCTGGCCCCACTGACTTTCCATTTTTCATCTTCTTCAACGCTTCTTTGACTTCCGCCTCACTCATAGGGTCTACCTCTCCCTCCATTCCCACTCCTTCACCTCTTCGTATTCTTAGATTTTCCTGATTTAGAAGTTCTTCGTAGTAATCCCTCCACCGCATTTTAATCATGTCGGGGTCAGTAAGCACTCTTCCGTTCTTATCCTTGATTTGCTTTATTGATGTTAGGTCCTTTGTCGATCTGTTCCTTTCTTTTGCTAACTTATAGATTCTTGTGAGTAGTAATCTAAAGCCAAGAGAGCAATGTACAGCAGTCAGAAATAAAGCAAACAGAATTTTAGGATTTATCTCAAGAAGTGTTGGCAATAGGACGGAAGAAGGTATTCTGCAGCTCTATCTTGCATTAGTTAGGCCCCATTTAGATTCTGCTGTGCAATTCTGGTCACCCTATTATAGGATGGAAATTGAATCCTTGGAGAGAGTGCAGCGAAGAATGACAAAGATGATACACAATATCAGAAATCTACCATATGAGGACAGATTAAAAAAACTTAATCTACATTCTCTACAGAGGCGCAGAGTTAGGGGGGATATGATTGAAGTGTATAAATGGTTTAAAGGGATTAACAAGGGTGACATTAATAAACTTTTAAAAATTCAGGATCAAACCAGAACTCGTAATAATGGAATTAAGCTTGATAAATTTAGGTTCAGAAGGGAAATTGGTAAAAATTGGTTTGGTAATACAGTAGCTGATGCATGGAACAGGCTTCCTAGTAGGATAGTAAATGCCAATACCTTAGACACCTTCAAATGTAGATTAGATAGACATATGACAGAGGTAGGGTGGGTATGAATAGGTTAGTGCTTATTAGAAAGATCATAAAAAGAAAAATAGAATAAATAAGTAGAGTAGAATAGAATAGGTTAGAAAAGCTGAAAATATCATTCAAAAATGGAGCTGCCTCGTGTGTGCCAGTAGGCATGTTGCAGTGTCCCCTATTCTAATGTTCTTATATATATATATATATATATATATATATATATATATATATATATATATATATATATATATATATATATATATATATATATATATATATATATAATATATATATACGTATGTATGTATGTATGTGATTACCTAATTGTGATTACCTAATTGTGTTTACGGGAAAGAGCCCAAAGCTCGTATCTTCCCGTCTCCTCATCGGTTCCATTTTATACTTAGTGATACTTATCATACCTCTCCTTAAAACTATGGATTGAGATAGCATTAACTACCTCCTCGCTTAGCCAATTCCAATTATCAACTACTCTTACACTGAAAAACTATTTCCTTACATCCTGCAAAGAAGTTTTCTCACGAAGCTTCAAACTATGACCTCTAGTTCTAGAGCCTGCCATATCAAAATATCGATCCCTATCCACTCTATCATAACCATGAAGGAATTTAAAGACTGTCACCATATCCCCCCTCACTCTTCTAGCTTCCAGTGATGCTAAGTCTAATTCCCTCAGCCTCTCATCATAACTTAGATTGCGTATTTCTGGCACCAGTTTCGTGGCATGTCTTTGAACTTTTTCAAGCTTAGCTATGTGCTTTTTCAAGTGCGGATTCCAAAAGGGGGCTGCATATTCGAGTTTTGGCCTCACATAGGTTACATAAATATTTCTGAACATTTCCTTGTCCATGTGCCTGAAGGCTACCCTTACATTTGATAAGAATGCATATGCTGCCCTTACTATGCCATTTATATGTATTTCTGGAGACAAATCTGCCAGTATGTTTACTCCTAGATCTCTCTCATTTTCTGTCTCTTGAAGTTGTACTCCAGCCACCGAGTAGTCAAGCTTGGGCCTTCTTGCACTTGTACCCATTCTCATTACCTTACATTTTGAAGTATTGAATTTCATTAGCCACTTTTCTGACCACTCATGCAGATTATTTAGATCCTCCTGAAGTTCTCTACCATTGTTCTCGTTTTTTACTTTCTTCACAATCTTTGCATCATCTGCAAACATATTCATGAATGAATTTACAGACTCTGGTAGGTCATTTACATATACAAGGAACAAAAGTGGCCCTAAAACTGAACCCTGTGGAACTCCACTACTAACTCTTCTCCATTCAGACACTGAGTGTTTTACTCTAACCCTCTGTTCCCTTCCTTCTAAGTAAGTTTTTATCCATTCCAAGACATTTCCACCTATTCTAGCCATTGATTGCAGCTTCCTAATAAGTCTCCCATGTGGAACAGTGTCAAACGCTTTCTGGAAGTCTAGGAATATGCAATCTGCCCAGCCCTCTCTTTCCTGTAAGATTCGGTTTACCTCATCATAAAATTCTAATAAGTTTGTTACTGTTGATCTACCTTCTCTGAAGCCATGTTGCCTAACTGACAAAAAGTTGAAGGATTCCAAGTGAAGAGAGATATGTTTCCTTAGTAGTTTCTCCATAACTTTGCAAACTATGCTGGTCAAGGAAACTGGTCTATAGTTCAGAGCCGTATCCCCCCTTCCCTTTTTGAAGATAGGTATCACATTTGCTTGTTTCCAGCATCTTGGAATCTCCCCTGACTCCAGTGACTTTTTAAATATGATACTTAGTGCCACTGATATTGAGTTTGCGCATTTATTAAGCACATGAGGGGATATGTCATCAGGACCTGTAGCTTTATGAACATCTAAATCCATCAGCGCTTTGCATACCTCTGTGGTTGTAAGGTTGATGTTCTCTAATACCGGCCCTTGAGATTCTATCACTGCAATCTGAGGGGGTGGGGTATTTTCTACTGTAAATACTGACTGAAACTCCTTGTTCAATTCTTTGCAGATCTCTTCATCCGTCTCAGTGATGCTCCCATCCGCTCTCTTTAGCCATAACTTTGCAAACTATGCTGGTCAAGGAAACTGGTCTATAGTTCAGAGCCGTATCCCTCCTTCCCTTTTTGAAGATAGGTATCACATGTATGTATGTATGTATGTATGTATGTATGTATGTATGTGTATATATATATATATATATATATATATGCACACATATACACACACACGAGTGCATATAAGGAATAAAAAGTGTGTAAGGTAATGAACGAAACTGACATTTAAAATATTGGGAAAAATGAGACTAATGCTAATAATAATACAAATAACATTAGTATTCGTTGTTATTTTTGTTACTATTGTTAGCATTTCTGGTATTATCATAATTCTTAGAATTATTACTATTGTTATTTGTATTATTATTAGGATTAGTCTCATTTTTCCCAATATTTTTATTCTTAAGACCACAGGTCTTAAAAGGGAAACAGACCTCACACCTTATATCGGCTATGCTAGGAACGAACACATTCTATCTGAATGCCACTATGGTCATATTACAGTTTCCTCCAACGTCACTCGGGGTTTCGTTTTCTCATCTAATTCAACTCCCAGTCTCATTCGGGACCAACAATAACCAAGTAAGCACATTGCCATGTGTGAAAACATCAATAATTACTAAGCCAACGCGCTACCAACTATACCACAGAGGAACTTAAAAGGGAACAGACCTTACAGCTTATATCTGCTATACTAGGAATGACTGCATTATATCTGAATGCCACTATGTTCATATTAGAGTTTCCCCAC